GTTTCTCCTCTTTCGCTGCCCTGACGCTGCAGACACCTAGAGCTCTGTCGTTCCTGGGCAGGGAGCAGCTCTGGGAGCGCAGGGGAGGGTGGCGGGCTGCTGGGTGTGGGCTGACGCCGGCTCCGAGCTCAGATAATGACTTTGGGTCTGTGACAGCTCAGCCCCTTGGTACCGCAGAAGCGGCAGGTCTGTGGTCACCTGCGGTGACCAAATAAACACCTTTGGCTGTCCTGCCTGGGATTTATCTGCCAGGTTGTTTTATCCTTCCAGTATCACAAACCTCTGGGCAGGTTCAGACAGGATTCAAACTTATCTCCCAGACACGAGTTTCATCTTTGATTGTGGCAAACAGCATCCCCCGTGCCCTCTCCATGGGCACTACTCGTGATTTCCACGGAGGTTTGCAATGCGCTGCCTTGCATGGTGTCCTCTGCAGAAGGCGCAGCGATGGGATTTTCCTGGAGCTTACCTGGTGGGGTGTTTGCATCGCATCCTTTGTACTGCGGGCGCCTGAAACCCCATCTCTGGAACGTGAGCATCGCCCCCCTGCTCCCCCCCAGCCCCCGTTTTGATACCCCCAGGATTTCATGGGCTGTGACCATCACCTGAATCTCGCTCAGGTCGGGCTGTGATGGGCACATTGGGGAGGGATCCGAACGAGCGCAGGACCTCCATCGGCTTTGGCAGGGATAACTAGGAATGGAAACAGAGATGAGGTTCTGCAGCAAATCCCTCTGAATTCCGTGCTCTCACCATTTCTATGCAAGGAGCACCGAGCTCTCCAGTATTCCGCCTGCCTTAGGGCTTGCCCTTGAGCCTGTTCCTTCCCAAAAACCTTTCGGAGGTGCTTTGGGAGCTTCCAGGGGTCTCCTGCGGTGGCGGGGTCTTTGCAGCCAGCCCGATGCTGGGCTGAGCAGGTGGCTCTGCAAGAGCGACGGTGGTTCTTGCTGGAGGCAGAGGCTGGCGCAGGTGGTTCTGGGGCAAGTCTCAAAATGGGGAAACTTCTGCGTCAGTCTTACGCAGAAAAACTCCGCTGTGTTACAGAGGAGTCACTTTTTTTTTTGTCCAAATAGCAGATTTGTTTGTACAACTGATTTTTAAACATGTTTTGCCATCATCTGGAAGCTGCTGTGAGGTTATTTTTCCAGGTTCTGTAGGAAGCGCGTCTTGAGATCTTATTTCCAGTTCCCATGACAGAAGGAAAAGGGACCCGAGGGGAGAAGGACGGGATAAAGGCAGAACAGCACGTGCTGGAGGAAATCAAACCTGCCCACGGAGAAGGCTGCCGCGGGGGAAACGAGCGGGATCTGCCCATTGTCCGTGCTCTTCCGCCCGCTCCGGCGGGAGCTCAGCCTCCAGCGAAGGGTGGGTGCTGCTCGTCCGTGGCACCCCGGTGAAACAGGGGAGTAAGCTGGGGAATAAAACCCCTGAATGGCAGACCTCCCAGTTACTTAAGAAAGAGTTTTTTTCTCTCTCCTCTTGCTCCAGCTAACACACAAATATATTTCCAAGTAGCTGATAAACTTCGCTAGATTAATGAGTGATTTCTACAAACCTTTTCGCTTTACTGCCAAAGTCCTTTCTCACAAAAAAAAAAAAAAAAGACTATCGCTCTGTGTTTTGGCCGCACAAAGCCACGAGCTGCCTTATCGTGGTGGGTTCAGGATCCAGGAGCTGGATCTCCATCCCCTCTCCTCTGGGCTGGTGGGCTCTGCTCTGGAGACCCTTGTGAGGGCGGAGGGGATGTCCCGGGGACCCTGCGGCAGAGGAAGCACCTGGAAGGGCTGGGGGGGGGAATTCAGCCCAAAGCTCCAGCCCAGGGTGGCGGTGCCGCTGGTGCCCAGCCCGTGTGCGGGGCCGCGAGGCTTCCTGCCCTCTTCTCACACGATGGGGTCAGTTCTCATGGTACCTGCTGCTGCTTTCGTTGCCTCGGGTTTGAGGGATGGCGGAGCTTGAACTGGAAGGAAAGAGAAACAAACGTGTTGCAAAAATCAATACGATAAGCCAAACCCGGGGGCGGTTTTTAAAGCTTTGTTTTTAAAGCTCCTTGAATGCAGAACAAGAACAAGGCCCTTTTAGTGGTGATGCTTCTCATCCCATAAAAACATTTCCCAGCGAGGGTACTGCCGGGGTCACTGCGCTCCCCCAGCCCCCTGTTCCCACCCAGGTCTGTTTGCTGCCCCATCGAGTTCGTTCACATCCACCCAACGCCTGGCTCCCAGCAGCGCGGCAGCGGAGCCGCGGGTGTTTTCATTCCAGGTACCGCCTTTGTCCGAAGGGCTGTGTTACGAGTCGTCCTTATCAGGTGTATTGCTGAGAAACTGTTACGGTGAGAGTCACTGTGACCTTGAATGATGAGGAGTTTCTCTCTTCTGAAAACAGTTCTTAGCTGGCTTCCTTGCAAAATAGTTGTGTAGAATTTTTTTTTTATAATCTCTCATGTGTAAACACCAAAGAATTTTTTTTTTTTTAATTCAAACCAGCGGAAGTCATGCTCACGTATCAGCTGGGTGTGTTGTTTTTGCAGCTTATCCAGCCGCGGGTGTTTGCTGTAGAGCAGCAGAGCTCCTCCGGAGCGAGGCGAACGCGTCGGCTTTGTCCCGGCAGGAGAGCGCGGCGACCTCGTAC